CAGAGTTCAAGCCTCATTACACAGGTCTCATGTTCACATAGTCCAATCATTTGTGCTGCTTTCTCCGATGTCGTCATTGTTACAAGGAAAGCACTCGTGTGGCAGCACTAAAGGCCTTTCCCTTCCCTACCCATTGCTCTCCCCGGATGTCATATATTCAGTGCCTCTCATGTTCACTGCTCATTACTTTAGGTGCAGTATTTAGCTACCGTCTTCACCCAAATAGAACGCCCGGTCATTATAGCTGTATTTGGTGCCACTTTCACTCCAGGAACGACAATAATTACCGGGCGTTCTGTTCGGATGAAGACGCTAGACAGGTTGGGGGGGGTAGCTCAGTGTGCAATTTTGGTGCCCATTTATGTGTGAGAGGATCAGATTGAGGCTAACAGGGACTCTGATTATACCCTTAAATCCAGAGCATACCCTTATCAACAGACACATCTGCGAGCGTCGGAGTACCAGTGCAGAGTATATGAACAGTTGCACTCTCTATCAATGGTCAAAGGTGAGAGTGCAGAGAGACCAGAGCGGGCAACATCCATCACTCCATGGGCTTAGCGGAGGTTTTTGAGAGACAAATCGGAAGAATGATACTGTTGTTCTTTTTTTTACTTTCTTTCTTTTTTTTCATCATCGGCTGCTTTAGCAAATTCATGACACTGGTGCCAATAGACAAAGCTGTAAGGGAGATTGCTAAACTCTTCGCTGACAATTGGGCACTCAAAGTCAGATTCACCTCCAATATTAGGGGCTAGTTGCACCCCGGTCAATTTGACAACGCTGCCTCAAGGCTGTCCCTTCTTTTGTAGGGGGGGGCGGGGAAAGGGGGGGGGGGGGGGGGGGGAAAGAAAGGCCTACTCTAAGTTTAGCCTACAGATGTTCTGCTAGTACTTTACCCAACAAATCACTCGGTCTTCCTCTCTGTCGCTGCATGGATCTTCAAGCCACGACCTGTTTTGTAGAGCGAGTACCTCTATCACTAACAACGGGCCTAGTTGCACCACTCGCTGTTCGCCAACATTTTGAATGCATGTGGACGCATAAGTCTGTCTGGATGCATTCAAAATATTTCAGACTTGTTTTACTCATTTCAGTCCACTATCCAAAACCGGGTCTGTTTATCAACAGTCCACAGGTGTGCCATTCAGACACAACTTTGTAATGACCCGCCAAAAACACAGACTGAGAACACTGCTGATTTCTGGGATTTGTCACTGGAATGAATGCCTTGCTGTGATTCCCGCATTCTGCTGTGGTTCCAAGTCTGTGTGTATCCGTGCCTGCTGGTTTGCATGCCTGTCTGAGTGCTTGCCGGTTGTGTGTGTGTGCGTGCCTCCTGGTTTGCATGTCTGTCTGAGTGCTTGCTGGTTGGGTATGTGGTATGACCCGCAAGGGTACTTGTTGGTTGCAAGGCCCACCGGGCCGGTACTTACCTGTGGCCGTGACTTTGAAGGGTTGCAGGGGGGTAAACACGCCGGTAGCGGGAGTAGGCCCACGGCACTTAGAGCAGCTGGGGAAAAACACTCAAGTAGCAGGTAGGCCGAGCAGAAGAAGACAAAAAGTTGGCATTTTTAGAGGCCCRGTAGCGGTAGGTTAGAGGTAGGCCGGTACCAGTCCAAGTDGCCCGGGTCTARGGCCTGTGCGGACAATAACAGAGCCTGCAATGATGTTTCCCTCCAAAAGGGAGGAGGTACCGGTTGCTGGGAGGCCGCTTGGCCTAGGAAGTCACCGCCCAGGAGGCCGGTAGGCCGCTATATCTTCAGGAAGAGCGGAGAGCTCTTCCTCATCTGCGGTATGCAAGGATTGGCGACATGCTGCTGGAGCGCAGCGCTGGACTGAAGCAGCGCTGCTTGGAGGTGAAGGTCCACTGGGGCTCAGCCTGGCTATGGCGAGCACCCCAGCTTGAGGAGGAGGAAGAAGGGGGCATGGTAGGAGAGTGGTAGGGCACTTACCTGGCTATGGTGGACACCGTCTTCATCACCTTGTTGGGCGCTGCATCTGGAAGGCCCCCGTTGGGGTAGCGCTGCACCAGGGCAGCTCGAGGCAGAGTCAGGCATAGTGGACCAAGTCAAGCAGCGGCATAGCTGCTTTGGGTTGTCTTCTGGACATCAGGGCAGCACCATAGCTGCCACCCAGTAGTCCGCCATGGCCTATGCATGAGAGAGGAGGTTGAAGGAGGGAAGACATAGCCATGGTGGACTTGTTGTTGTTGTTGTTGTTGTAAGTTGAGTCAGCAGTAAGGGGGAACTTCGGACATTGATTCTGGTTCATCCATTCATTGTTATTATTATTATTGAGAGAAGAATAAGATTGGTGAAGAGAAGGAGGAAGGAGGAAGGTGGAGAGAGAAGGGGGAATTGTCATTGGTCTTGCTGGTGTACTTCTTCTTCTTCTTCTTCTTCTGAGAGAAGGGGGAATTGTCATTGGTCTTGCTGGTGTACTTCTTCTTCTTCTTCTTCTTCTTCTTCTTCTTCTTCTTCTTCTTCTTCTTCTTCTTCTTTACCTCTCCTCTGGTCTTTTTCTCTTTGCAAGTGCTTTCATTTCTTTCGCAATTGGGTGGCATTGCCTTTCATTGTGAATTTGCACTTGGGAAGTGACCAGGATCGTAACAACTTGGTTAGATAGCCCTTCATAGACGGGAAGATCTAGAATCTTGTGACACGCACCCCTGGTTGGCCTACCGTCTTCACCTGAATAGAACGCCCGGTCGTTATAGCCGTATTCGGTGCAATTTTCAGTCCAGATACAGCTATAATGACCGGGCGTTCTATTCAGGTGAAGACGGTAGGCTGGGAAGCAGCTTGTCAAAAGTGGCGAGCTCGGCAGTCGTAATTTGTTCATTCTGCAAATTTGCTCGAGGAAGGGCATACTCAAAACTGCCAAAATATTAAAAGTATCTGACCATAGGTATGGCCCTGCTTGGATGTATCTGACCGCAATTACGTCCAGAAACAAGTAAAAAAAATCCTACTGTGATTATGCCTTGAGAAGGAGAAGTAGCATTCCGCTGAGATTCCCGCATTCTGCTGTGATTTCTAAATACGCGTGTGTGACAATGATTGCTGAGTTTCCGTGTGTTTATCGGACTGCATGATGGCTTGGGTGTGTGTATGACCCGCCAGGGTACTTGTATGCTGGAAAGGTCCTCGGAACTGGTACTTACCTGTGGCCATGCTTTTTTGTGGGGATGCGGGAACTCAGAAGTAGGCTAGGCCCGCGTAGGTTGGAAAACACTCGAGTAGCGGGTACGTAGACAAAAGAAGACACAAAGTTAGCACCTTTAGAGGCCGAAGGAATTTTTTTTACAATTCCGGTAGGCTTAGACTCTAGAGGGGTATTGGTCCATAGTTTGAGTCCAGGGCCTCCAGTGAGGGATATCGTACTGCAGTGATGTTTCCCTTCGAAACGGAGAAGGTACCAGTAGCTTGGGAGGCCGCGCGGCCTAGAAAGTCAACGCTCGAAGATAGGCAGTGGGCTGGTATATCTTCAGGGAGAGCGGAAAACTCTTCCGCTATGGTAGCGCTGGGGCGTAGCCAGTTGGGCGAGCGCTCGGTGTAGTAGCACTGGGGAGGAAGTTGGTGGGCTTGGCCCTCCACCTTGGATATGGTGGAGAGGACCACGGAGGAGACTCCAGGGAATTAGGAGGAAGAGGAGGAAGAAGGGAGCAAGGAGGAGAGTGACCGGGGTGCTTAACTGGCTATGGTGGTCTGCATCTTCATCTTCTTGGTAGGTGCTGCACCTGGAAGGCAGCGTTGGGGGTTGGTTTCCACAAGGAAGACTTCGGGGTAGTAATAGGCAAGGCGGCCATAGGAGGAGGGACACATTAGATTTGCGTTGTCCCTTGAACATCAGAGCATTGGTCCATTAATCCACCAAAGACACCTACTTGGCCAAGGAGGAGGAAGGTGTAGGAGATGGCTATGGTGGACCTCTTGAGTGCCTGGCAGCAAGAGGTGCATTCGAACATTGGTTCTGGTTCATTCTTTCATTGCTATTATTATTATTGTTGTAAAGAAGAAGTTGGGGGAGCAGAAGGAGGTTGGAGATGGCGGTGAGATGAAAGCGGATTTGACATTGGTCTTCTTCTTCTTCTTCTTCTTCTTCTTCCTCTCTCATTTCTTCATCTTCCTTTGCCTATTTCTCTTTCCAAGTTCTTCCATTTCAGTTGCAATTGAACAACATTGTCTTTCTTCGAGTTATTGCACTTCAAGACCACCAGGATCATAACATACTGGAATCGAATTACGTCCTGCTGTGTCGCAACACAAAGTCTGTCACAGCCCCCAACTTCTTGTCCTTCTGTCACCTTTTTGCCTAGAGTCCACCGGGCAGTTCTCCATGACTACGAGTCTACGACTGTTATATTTTGTCATTAGAGAATTGCCCGGCGAACCATAGGCAGAGAGGGAGAAGAGGACAACAAACGAGGGCCTGTGACAGACTGCTTCGTCGGAGTTTCAGCAACTCATCCGCAGGCTTAATGATATGGAATCCATCAGGTTGTGACGCAATTGCACAGCGTGCACTTCAATAGCATGTCCCGTGCAAGCTGTCATCTAATGGTTTCTATCAGTACTTCACTGCACAGAAAGCACGCATGGAGCATGTGCAGGACACCAAAAAGACCCATCAAGATAGTATAGTCTCTCATCGATTGGGACTTCTTACACATAATCCATAATCCTATGAGTGCTTACCATGAAGCTTGAGAACTCCCGAGTCGACTGCACATTAACCAAGAGCCATTTGGCCTGCCTGATGGCCTGATGTTTCGCCTGCGCAAAGCAAAGAAGAAGACAGCGAGAGAGAAAGCAGATGGAGGGCACCAGCAACTCACCACAAGTCAACAAGGGAGGAGCGTAAGGTCGCAGGAAGACACCGAAGAGACAATACAAAACCAGTTATTGATCTGTAGGCACAAGACCAAACTGGGTGTTTCACTTCTTTACGAACGTTGTCAATCCATGGGGCATCATCAATCATAGCAGCCATGCTTGCCGTGTTCGTTTTTCCTTGCTCATTTCCCCCTTCTTTTCACAGACCTGCAACATTTTCCCTACCTTCCTTCTTTCCTCCTACATCCGTCCCTCCTAACTCCCCACTTACTGCACTCCATCCTCCTCATTCTCTCTCCCAAACCGAGAAACCCCCTCTTACTTTCCATGCCCATTACCTTCCTTCTTCTTCTTCTCTCTCTCTCTCTCTCTCTCTCTCTCTCTCTCTCTCTCTCTCTCTCTCTCTCTCTCTC